GGAGTCAAAAAATGATGTTATAGCTCATATCATTGCGTACACAATATTTTATCAGCATCAAGCTATCACTAATCTCACTTTATTTTGTTGATGAATCATAAGTAAAATGCGAGAAAGCATTTATTGATTTAAAATAGCCTTAAGTAATGGTGAACTTTAATAATAAGTACGGTGAATTCAAGTGTAATATAATGGTATTGCACTAAAACGATCTTATAGTGATCAGAAGAAGAACAGAAATTTGGTTTTCTGTTCATTTCATACTCTAATTAATTCACATAAAAGTACGCTACTATTCTGTGCCTATCACGCTATCTTAATAACCATATAGTGAAAAGAGCGACTAAAACATAACAAATACTAAAGTTGATTGCAGCCATAGCAACCCATATAAACTAGTTGAGAAACGTTATTTTTACGTTGAACGTTACTAACATATCAACGCCGGAAGCAATTTCTTAGTTCCGGTACTTTATTTAAAATTCGTAATTGCATAGCGGTACATTATCTGTACTAATAGTATAGATCATTTCATGTTATGGAGTAAAATAGAAAAAAGATTTTGATATTCGTCGCTAATTTAATGTCGATGATGTCGACGACTAGTTAATGGTTGAGATCTAATCGTATTTGTATTAACCCTATTTGATAATATAGCATGTGGCATTTTAATGGATAATATACACGTTTTTATGAAGACAGATATATCTTATTTTAATTTATAATCATGATCTTTCCATCATATCAGTTTTTATAGCCTAAAAATAACCCTATAATGATTATATTTTGGGGTTAGTAAAGTTTCGTGTTCTAGTAAATGAATCACAAATTCATGCACTACATGTCGACAAATTCCACATATTATTATCATTCTGGACCAGTAAAGCGGCGTATTCTAGTGATTAATAATAAATTCATCTACTGTAGATATTAACCCTATTTGATGGCATAGCATTGTGATATTTTAGAGGATAATATATATGTGTCTATGATGACAGATATATCTTATAATCAAGGTCTTTCCATCATATCCGTCTCAATGGCCTTACAAATGACGCTATAATGATCATAATTCTGGGCTAGTAAAGCTCCTTATTCTAGTAGATGAATTACAAATTCATCTACTATATATTAAACTTATTTGATCACGTAGCACTGTGGTATTTTAGTAGATAATATATACGTGTCTATGAAGCAGTGATATGCTATTTTAATTTATAATCAAGATCTTTCCATCATATCAGTTTTATAGCCTTAAAAATAACGCTATAATGATTATAATTCTGGGCTAGTAAAGCTGCGTATTGTAGTAAATGAATTACAAATTCACCTACTATATGTCGACAAATTCCTTTTACGCGCATACTACTAGAAATTGATGATTAAAATAAATGAGAATTGCTGGCTCAGTTTATGGAAAGCACAAAGAGTAAAAGAGTTTATTAAGTAAGTCTAGTTGATACAGTTTCAATAGATCTACGCTAATTTCGATATCAAAAGTGTACTAAACCAACATTGAGAAGATCTAGCGGTGGGTCATATTTTCTGTCAATCTATAGGAATTCTCTAGCTTGATGTAATATTTTATAGCTATTATAACTTTATTAAAACAGAATCAAAGGTATAGCTAAAAAAGTATAACAGCACAGCACTAGACGAGATGACAGCTTTACTCTTGTGTTAAAGTGTTGTATAGTATTGAGTCTAATGGTCTGCTGTATTTTAGCGTTTAGAGAAAGACAGGAATAATAATAATACTGTGAATTACACGTGGTGTATAGCTGGAAATCATCTTCATCATAGTTAGATATAAAATAAAGCATAATCAGGTCAACAAAATTAAATCGTGCAATAAAAGCTGGATAAGATACTGTACCGATGATCATTTTACTATCAAAGCTATAGCAATAATAAAACTTGTTAGGAATGCCAACAGATACCAACTTAGATATGTAGTTTGAATAGAAATGATTGATCGACATAACTAGAACATCGTCGTGATGTAGAGCGAGACTAAATGATTTTTGTTCTTACTAAACTTAAGATACGTGATTACTTTGAGTAGTTGATCATTTTTTTACAGTTATGTTTTCCGTAGAAATTCTATTCCAACCGGCTAGCAACGAAATGACGTTGTGTTGTGCAATAATTTTATGGAAACTTTACTTAATTTTGTAAATGGATTATTATTAATAGTAAGCTTGACAACAGATAAGCAGCTTTTATCTAGTCAGTAAGAGGTAAAAAGTATGAAAAGTTATCGAATTATTGCTGCTTGAAGCTATCATTTGAAACTAGAAGCGCTATATAGTGATTATAATATTCAGTTCTTGGTTATGATTTAATTTCGATACTAAATAATTCTCCTTCTATCTTTTAAAGTTAATATTGAACTGATAGAATTTCATTTAAACGAAAAGAGTTGAAAATACCAGTATTTCATATAGAAAAAATATAAACGTAAAGGAGACTGACATTTGGATTATTCAAAATGATTAGTAATTTACCTAATTCTGCTTCTTTCTCTCGTAATTTCTTCTGTTCCTTCATATTTTCCGATAACTTTGTAAAATATTCAGCCGCAAAGGAGTATAAATCACCAGGACGATTACGAAGAACGCATAATGCGAAATTTTGAAGCATTTCTGCTGCTTCAGAGGAGACGTCGTACTCCATCTTGAAATTTTGTATTTACTGTTGTTGTTATTATCTTTGTTCTATCTGTTTCCCTGGTTTGAATAAAATTCAATCATTTGACCTGGAAATTTTGCTTGATATAGAGACTAGTAGGGTTACTACTGTATACTATTAATGATTCTATGCCGTCTGGTATCACATTTTTTGTCCCTGCGGCTTTCAATGTAAATTCTATAATTGGAATTCTTCTGTTGTTCATAGCTATTGAAATATTTCTAGCTTTCATTTTGTTCGCCTAAATGGATTAATGTTACCTAGCAACGATTTATGACATAGATCTCGAAGGCAATGCTGATATTAGGTATATTAAGAGAGTCTGCATGAATGCGCCTACACCTGTGTTGTCAATCATCATCATACGATGGCTAATTATTAGGCAATTTCATTAATACTAAATGTCAGGGTTATCCATGTGATAAAAATGATAAATTGGTTATAATTTAGGATATCCTGAATAAATAATGAGATCGAATAGAAATACCAGAATGATTGCCAGTAACTATAATGGCACATTATTTTGCTTCAAGAATTCAGCCGCTATTATTCCTAAGAAGATGGTAGTACTTCAAAAACAAATAGGGTATGATAAATACAGTAGATGATGCTTTATCACGATCAAAAATGAAAATGTAATCAAAAATTATCCTCTAGGAATATCGTTTAAATCGTTCTATATAGCGACAGTATAGTGATATCCTATCAGTTATGTTGCGCTAATTTAAATAATTCAGTGGAATAAATTTCAATTAATCTTGATAATAAGTACAAGAAATCATCTTGTTTAATTTTGGTTAGCACAAGGATTATTAGAATTCGGCAACATTTATTGCAGTTTTAATTCCACTATCTATTTGATCCGATAGCATTCCTGTAAAGTGATCAAATGAGGAGACGTTTTACCGGCCTAACTAAAAGGTTAACTTATACAGTTAAATTTAGTCATAAACGCAGTAGTACCTAATAAATATTTTTATGAGACACGATTAAATAATAGTATTTGATTACTAACTGAGCGGAGAGTTAGTAGCTTATGCTTCACATAAAGTAATAATAACTGCCTAATCAATTCTATATGAAACTATTAGACGATCGCCTTTGATTATCAACTTATTTAAGATTACTAAATCTTAGATTAAAACGGTAGCTTATATCTTCTTGTGAAATAATAAATAGCTACCTGGTACCTAATCACTACCCAAAACAAATCATAGTATGGCAATACTTGATAACCAATCTAGCAAGGCTAGTATTAACTTAACTAAGATTAGTAGCTTATATATTTATACAGAGTAATAAATAACCGACTAATCAATTTTTGTGAAAGCCATTAGATAATAGTAATTGATTGTTTGCTAAGATTACAGTAGTAGATTATATCGCCTTATGAACTGATAGATAACACATAATGAATTTTTGTGGAATTACGGATACCAGCATTTGGCCAGTAGCCTGGCTAAGATTAATAGTTCATATCAGTAAGTAATATAACTATATGGTATAATTTGAAAGCGACCATTTGCAGAGTTAGTATTTCAGAAATTAATTTCGTCATGTAAATATCTAATAGAAGTGTACTGGATTGATCAAATTCTAAAATCTACAATACTATTGATATATTGTCTTATTGACTGATAAACGGCACGTAATAATTTTTTATGGAAATCACGAGATACCAGCACTTAACTAGTAAGCTAGCTAAGATTAATAGTATATTTCAGTAAACAATATGATTAAATGATTTAATTTAATAGTGATCATTTTTACAGAGTTAGTATTCCAGAAGTTAATGTCGTCGCGTAAATATCTAATACAAGTGTACTAGATCAAGATGTTATACCTACATTAGTCAATATATTAAGGGCACTAATACTAGAGTTATCAGAAGTCTAAACACCTAATATTTATCGATACGCTAAGGTAAAAGCAACTTTAATTTAGCAAATTGGAGCAAATCTCAATTAGGACTACTCAATTAGAGCTTACATAACTTACTTGATCAGAATTTATATCACAGTGTAGGCTAGTAAATAACTGTGTGAGAGAAAGTGTTTAGCATAATTAAGATTATTTTTAACTTTTAAAATAAGCGAAGTTACATCAAAGCCATATCACTGTAGCTGTTTATATATAAATGGTGTAAAATAGCAGCTTAAAAATTTTTAAAGTTAGGTTTAACCTAGGCTATTGTAAGTATACCGACTTGAAGACGTTATATTAATCATTTTCTTTTATTTATTGCGCTTATTAAGAAGAACTAAAATAAAAGATAAAGTAACGAATATTAACGATTATTGACATTATAGTTATTTTGGTTTTTCATAACGGCGAGAATTTCGTTTCATTATTCCCATGCATGGACCTAACAGGCGCTCGAATGCTGCAACATCCAAAGCTGTAAGGAGGTAGAATTGCGTATTAGTCTGAGGTAATCCTCTACACACGCACATAAGCGCTATAGAATTTATAAAACATGGAATCAATAAAGACATTTCGGAGCTTGTAGGCACTTAAAATACAAACCTGCTATGCTTACATCTCCTAAGGCATAAACCGATGCAGCACGCTTACTATGAGTAATTAAGGCTAATTCTAAAATGGAGTTAAATGGTTGTTAGCCGTAATAGTGAAATCCTGAATAAAATTGCTAACGACAAATGTATGCTTTAATAGAAATTACCTCCGAAATAATCGCCGACTTTTAAGCGAGTTACTTCAGTTTCTACTCCATTTTTCTTGATGAAGTGAGCAAAGGAAGAAATTATTAGCAAACTATGTCATATCATTTAGCAATCATAAGAACTAATTGCTGAAGCCAACTGTTGTCTACACTTGCATGGAAAATCTTTCAGTTCTTTTCAGTACGACTATAAATGGGGTACAGTAACATAAATTACGATGATTAAAATAAATTAACCTATTATACCTCTATCACAACTTGGCACTCTCCCTTTTCGACAAAATAGAAGGCATCCGCATCATCTCCCTATCCATTGGGTTTTAAAATTATTAGTGGCCGTTATAGGATATGATAAGAATTGTCTACTATGCGTTACCTGTTTGATAATTGCTTGGCCATCCTTGATTCGTCTCGTTTCAAGAGCATCAGCTAAACTCATTCTTTCATGCTTTTCTAAGCTTTTCAGAATGCTGACGGACCCTAAGATTTCTTCGTATACTTTTCTCTAAAGAATTCAGATGGATGGAAATTCTTTGAAGATAATATATTCTACTTTGAACTTCGAATCTGCTTGTTCGATAGCTTTACTATCCAATATGTCTTATTACTCATAATATAAGCACAGCTACGTTACCTTCTTGGCCGAAGCAGTCATCAAGATTCTTCTAAAGGTAGTGCGATCCTATTGATAAAAGTATGAGTAGAGTGAAAGGATTTATTTTATGCCATCTTTAAAGTGAGACGATTATGGTTGTAAGAGAATTGCCTTAAGGCCTGATAATTAGCTACATAAAATACTAGTTGGAGAATGTTACCAGAGCCCATAAAGATCCCTCACTTTTGGCAATAATAGTAGCAGCTCTATTAATCCAATGTCAAATTGAAATATTGATTTAGTTTGGTAGTATTTCAATTTCATTTTAATACTTTCCTACAAATATCAAAATTAGTGATTGTAGTTGCATAAATTCATCACTTAGAATCTTACCTCGGTGTATTATACATTAAAGCCAATTCACCAAAGCTGCCAGAACCTTGATAAGTTGCTACCTAATGTAAAGTTGACAAAATAACAAATGAATTCTCTCACTAGTAATAGATGATTTATAACGGTTAATATAGTTAAGATAGATAACTTCGAAACTGCTTCGATTACTTTAATGTATTGAATGAAATGCCAATACGCCGCATTAATTACGGATATTGCTTTGCAAGTGATTCTATTTTCAACTTATACATGTAGCTGCTTCAATTTTTAATTTTTACTTACCGTTTTTGCGACATTATTCAAAGTAACAACGACTTCATAGACACCACTAAGATTGTTTTAAATATTAATGCCATAATAGTTAGGGTGTTTGTCTTATGCATTTTGTTAATGAATACAGTTTATATCGTAACATACAAAATTATTTTAGGTTGATTTATAGAAATAGGATTTACCTATCGATAACGTAGAAGTTATCACCACTATCTCCTTGATCAATGACATGTTCTTCAGGTTCGACCTAATTAAAAATAATAAACAAAGCAAAAGTTGAAAATCCAAAGGTCTGAACCGCTTACGAGTGTTACTGCAATAAATGGAAATCTACAGGTTAATTTATCGCTGAAATATAGTTTATTCAAGATAAATATCATATTATTTTAAAATGAACAGGTAAGGTAAAAAAGAATTATGAGTATTTAATTAATGAGTAATAACCGGCTAAATAGCGTATAGTATCGGAGCTAAAAAATAGATAGATGCTCTAATTTGCGATACCTTTCTCTCAAACATAGCATCTAGAACTTCAGCATTTTTTTCCTATGATAATTAAAATCGAAACAGGTTGAGAAGCGGTTCTTTAGCCTTGCATAATCATGATAAATTAATTAGATGAACATTATAGTAAATGTCAAAATGTGACATTATTCTTGTAATTGATATCTAGCTATAACAGATGACGATGATTGTACAGTGGCAGTACATTACGAAATTGACATACAAGATATTTCCGTAGGTAGTTAGTTAACGTGTGTGCTATAAAACTACGCCATAACTAGGTCTAGATGAGAGTGAACTTCCAATAGGGCTAATTATATATCATATTACCATGCTATCAATTATATTATAGATGATCATGATTTCTATTTTTGTGTTCCAATTTTGAAAACCTATTACCTCATCAAGATTGTTAAATAGGAAAGACGTCTTAACGGAAGCATCCAATCGCTTTCTTTGCTCCTCCGTTTTGAAATGATAAACCTGATAGGTATAAAATAAAGAGAGCTTAATTTTCGGTAATTTTTTTGAAAAATTTTATAAAACAGTCTGAAATCGAAAAAATTTATGCAGGAATACGAAATGCGATATTCTTCTATAAAACGGAGTTGTACGTATATAATTCTGATACGCAATATTTAAGATGAATTGCTTACTCCACTTATTCCATCATCTTCAAACGGGTCTGGAGCATAGGACTCAGCAGATACTGAAAGTATTAATAATCGTAAGATTTTAAAATATTTTGATGACTGCAGATTTTGGCCACATAAGTTTCGATTTTATGCTTAATTGTCATAAATCAGTTGATCTTAAAGTATTACTATTTAAAATTGATAGCGCCTACATCACTATTCAAAGAATTTTAATTGCTATAGTTGTTGCACCTGATTTTCTTCTTCGATATCGTTGTTCATTTTCACCTTAGGAAGAAAAAAGTTATAAATGAGACTTAGGTACTATAACAATATATAGGAAATTCTGGGATTAATTTCCTTAATTTGAACGTTGGAACTGGATTAATATGAAAATGCTTGTATACTGGGAATTACTCTGGTTCGATAGGGCGTCAAGAGGAAGGGAGGTTAATAAAATATTCAAAAAGGATGAAATATTGAAAGGCAATGACGGTGATTATGGCAGAATATCGAATAATATATTTCTGGAGGAAGTCGTTGGATAAAATGCTATTCTATACTGCACCTTATAAAAATGTTTCTTTACTGCCAGTATATTTAATTAGTGATATCAACTAACGGAAGGATATACAAAGTGCTATCGCGGAAACTTTCATAGGATAATGTCTGAACTAATTAGGTGAAGTTTAAGTAGCTATAATATAGTGTAAGATATAAGTTTTTGGCTTATTAGCCATAATGAACCCAAGGCTGGCCGAACAAAAATTAAACAAGATTCGTTTAAGCATTACACATGATTTTGTAATTTCAATAAGATTAGTTGTTGGCACTGCAAATCGTAATGTTATAAGTTTAACATTATCATTAAATTGCTATTTATTATCAAAACGATTAATACTACATATTCGCTAACTCTTGAAAGAGTGCTTCATATATTACGGCTAATGATGATTTAATTACGTAATTTAATAGGTTTGCAGTAAAGTATATGAGCTACATCGAGTAAATCAGTAGTTTTTCTTGCTGGTAGGTTATTATACTGTCACAGTTTTAGGGTGTTATTGAGTAAAGCTTAATGCGATTTTAACAATTCAGTTAGTCGGATTTATTGTGAACGTTGAAAATTAGCTTTACTACACACATTTAATACAACTAAAAGTTTTTAAGCGACAAAAAACTTTACATTACAATAGTTACCTACGTGAGGCTTTATCTTACTAGATCTGAATGTAAATGATTTAATAGATTAAAATAATTGATAGCAAAGCCCAGCAGAACTATCTATTAATTAATTGTAGGGTTTATCTATGATCCTGAATGACATTCCTATGCCAATGATAGAAACTCAACCTTTGTGTTAGTGGAAGAGGTAATTAAGCAAAATAGTCAGTATCAAGGACCAGCGAAACTATTTACTAATTATCATATAGTGCATTATTTAGAATCCCAAGCGGTGTTTTTATGGTCTTATATATCATAGACCTATACATATGGTACGATGCATACAGTAGTTTAAGCAGTATAAATGTATATGGTTTCAACTGTTTCATTACAATTACTTTATAGACAGACAAATATAATCAAATTTTTCATAGTATAATACTTGTCTGTGTCCTTTTCTTTATTGTAAAATTTTAGAGATTAATTTACACTTATTTGAACAAATTTTCTTCTTCAAACTAACTCATTAGTACCATAGTATCTAAATTTTGTGTACAGTCATTTTCTGTTATTTTAGAATAAATATTCAAAGCTAGCCCGATAATCTTATTCAGTTATTTCGCAAGCTATCACATAGAATAGCTGATAAGTTACGATACGCTTCCTAATTACAGTCACGTATTGGAATATTATGTACGTGTATAATGCAAGTACTGATTCCTTGCTAGATGTCTTTCTTTTAATTAATAATGTCTAAACTAAATTTCTCTTAAGTTAGTAAACTAAATAATTCATGTTTATTTATTTACTATACGCAGTATTACATGGGCATTTTATTTGCTCACATTCAATATGGTACCATTTCACTTTAATGCAAATGTAGCAAACACGAAATATATCTGTTTCTCGTAACTTGCTACTTAATTTATCGATTGGATTGTACATTAACAGGAAATGGAATGAATTACATTGTATAACAAATAAAATTTCATAACATAGTTACCAATAAGTATGAAATAAATAAATGAAATAATAATGACGGTCTGTTTCTGTATCGCCTTATTATAAAATGAAAGTATTTAAGAAAGAGAATCCTTGTCAAATATCGTCTTAAACATCATACTAACAAGTAATGGAACAATAGTATGTTGAAACATCAAATTATAAAATATACAAATTTCTCGCCAACGTCCTTTTAATTGGGTGATATCGATTTCTACATATTATATATTTTTAGAGATATCGTCAATAATATTTGCTATAATCACAATAACGTCTTCATCCATAGATACAATTGAAAAGTTGTTGGTGTAGGAGATATAAAATTTTCACGAATTGATTATGGATTACTTAAAATATAGAATCAATTTTAAAATATCGTGAGGAAATAATTACATTCCCAGTAACAGTTACTAAATCGATTTTTTGATAAACGATAACAAAGCTCCTGTTTCATAAAAAAATTTGGTTTACAGATAGTTTAATAAGAAAATTAAATAGAAATTACAGGTGAGATTTAGTTCACAACGGTAATTAAACAGCGTACTATTTATTCAAAAGCCAGTTTCTATACAAACACAAACTGGCACTGGATAAGCAATACTCTGTTAGTTTATTAATTTGTCGCAGTCCTTGGCTTAATTTTATTCTAATTTTTACATTTTTCCTCCTCTACTCGATCTGTATCTTAATTGCTTTAGCATTAATAAAATAAATAAGTTCCCTGTTTTATGTATAATAACTATCGTTCCTATTTTCAAAGTTAAATTTAATACTAGCGCTTTACAAGTGATGTACCCTTAAAGTTTATTCTAAGCGGAATAGATATGTTTATTGCTGGTAGTGATGAGTAGCAGTAGCCTGGCGACCATTATATATTGATATGATCAATTTAAAGCTAATTACCGGTACTTCCGAAATGCCTTTAATTTCGCAATGATTAAGGCTAGCCATGTCTAAGATCTTTTCTCAGTTTAACCATTAGAAATACAAAAACTAATCGATTGAAAATGATTACATAATTGGTGTCGATATTCTTTGATAGTCTCGTCTGTTTGTTTGTTATATGGCTTTTTTCTCTACTCTACAGAAACGATAAGAAAATACAGTATCTTCATTTCTTGTCCTTTTAAATCGATAAAAATAGTGGGAAAGTGGATAGCGTATTTCTTAATACGGTAATAATGTTTATTTTAATTGGGTGTATTTCATTTCCTGATGTATATGCGCGTTTCTTCATAAAATGATCTTGACTAATTGTAGCAAGTTATGACTATATCTTCGATATCAATATTCGTAAGAGTATCAAGATGAGAAGGATTTGAAATAGCCTAACTGAAACATTGTCAATCTTTTGCTTGAATCGCGATGTTCAAATTTATTATAGATGACTTCGAAGTTAAAAACTTCGATAGAGAGTGATGGGTATTATTATTTCATTTAATTTAATATTGGATAAATTAATTTTTTGGCTGTTAATTTACAACTTGATCAGTAGTAATGGCTTTAAGAGCCTGGAATAACCATTTAGTGAGAGAAATAATGACCTGTAATTGTCATAGTATTTTGTCTCCAATAATTATGGATAAACCTTAAGAAACTGGCTATATGAAAGTTAGTCTTAATCAAATGGAAGAAAGTGATTTTAGATTCTCACACCTCTAACAAGCATTAAAATTCTGTATCTCACTATTGAGAACAAATTTGTATGTGCACTCTTGCTACAAGCTTTTACCACATTCATTTTTAAAATCTGATTTACGTATACTTATCAATACATTGGTAGACTAGACTTGGGTATTTATTTCTTAGAGAAACTAGAATGAATTACCTCATCAAACTCATTATTGTAATTGTTTTTAATATTGTTGAGGTTTTATTTATTACTTGAACTACGGTAGATCAATGATCCCTTATAAAAAAATTGGTGATCAAAGTAATTGTGGTACTGTCAGTTGATTTAAATTCGAAATTGATATGATAAATAATAAAATCCATGAATGAATAAAATCGTCAATACTGGAGATGTCATTTGATATAAATTTTTTAATTAATATCGGGTAAAAAGAATCGAGAAAATTTGATTAAGGATGATTGGTTACACTGTATTTTATGTTATGTTACAATATTTCAGTGAAGAAAAAACGTCATTAGTGAGAGAAATAAATAATTCGAATATCAACGCATAATTATAACGTTTACGTACAAGGTGTGAGTAAGAAATTGGTAAAACTATATGATCATATCGAAGATGAAAGAATAAAGGAAAAATTCGTAATATACTCACTATCATCTGAATCACTGATCTCATCGTTTAATGATTTCTTCCTCTCCTTAGACAGTTTGGTAAAATAACTTGCTGCAAAGTCGTAAATATTACTTGGCTTTTCGCATAACAAACTAACGGTAAATTCTTGTAAAGCATTTGTCAGTCCCTTAGGAATTTCAAATACTGCAGATGAATCCATTCCTGATGATTGTTTTAACTACTATTTACTAGTAAGTAAACTTTCTTTACCAGCTCTTCAAGTGATTTCAAGGAGATATATAGAAAGTTTATATAAAATAGCAGGTGCGTAATTCTTCTATGAGCTTACCTACAAGATATTATGACGGGCCTAAAAGTCTTTTATTGTCATTAAAGAATTGTATTTTTACTAAAGTGTTGTAAATTAGGAAGAGTGGAAGAAGCCGTATAGTATACACATCTAGGTTTTAGCTAGTTTGCACGATATATACTAAATCTAGAGATTTAGTAAGGTAAGTGATAAAAATTATCACTGTGCAACTGTTATTAATAAGGTAATAACTTCTAATTTTTCATTTTACAAGCATCATTAGCATAATCTTTGTCTATATTGTTGACTCTTATTAATATATTGTGTCTGCTGTTCGATATTCCAAAATTAGCATGATCCTAAAACAGAAAATAAGAATAGGAACAAAGTATTCATCCGCTATCATTGCCAAGTATTATTTATTTTATAACAATTCATTATTTTTGAATTGTTTTATGTACTATTGTACAAGAAATTGTTATTAAGTTTCATCAACAATACTAACAGCTAGTTGAGGTCATTGTACAATTTTTATATATTCAGTTAGTGTGATAGAAAGTATTAATCGCATTAGTAACGATACTTCTCATACTCAATTTTAAATTTGGTAGTCGATGGGAGGAGACTAAAGGCTAAGTTCATACGCAAAGAAAAATATGCATAGAGAGCAGAGCATGTTAATGTATCGATATCAACAAATAAATATCCCATCTGTGGTGTAATTCTATTTGGTTGGAATAAATCAAAAAAATCGATTAAGATGATATTAGGAAAGAGAAATCACGCTAATAGAAGCTATGCCTTATTGGTTTATGGTGGTAGTAATAGTATATTTCTCTTTAAAAAGAAAGCTGGATAAATTTATATCGGTTCCATTCCAATCCATATCTTCGTATATCACTAAACGAAATTATTTGTATAACAGTAAATTTAAATAGTAAGTAATTTGCACTTCAAACCTTTATGATATCCAGCCGTTTTCGCTACTGTAACAAACACCTTTGTCTCTATTTTTTTTACGATCTACAGGCGTATTTGCCTTTACGACGTCAGAATATTAAGCACTGAAATCGAAGGCTATTCTACGAGCTTTAGGAATAATTCTATATGTATATCTGATCTTGTAGCAGAGCTATGTGATTAAAATCAATTAAAATCGGATTTTTTCTAATCTTTGATTGAGTAGTGGCAAATTTAAAAGGTTTATTTGCCTTAGAATTGGCTATTGATTAAGATATCGAAACAAAATAATTTTATTTCCTAGATGTACTATATTCGATACTGTGCCATAGCAGATGTAAAGTTAATAATGGTTAAAATTTCGAACTATATTGTTTGACACTCTACCACATATTGCATAGTCTCATTGATAAAGTACGTTGGCTTTGTTTGATTGATCCATCGGACAATTTTTAAAAGTGATTGGCTAACCTATTTCAAAGAGCATTAATGTATTGGCTTATAATTTTTGACCGTTCTAAAGTTATTGGAGTGAGCGCAGATATTCAAATGATGATCCATACTGGCATTAATTCAACTTTACCGTTATTATTTTGCATAATGATAATAAAAGTCTTATGGCCAGCCTCCATTCGAAAATTTTATTTGAATAGCTTTAATTGCATTTATGACAGTCACAAAACGTGAATTAGATCGTCGAAATAGTATGACGGTAAAACTTTTTTACAAATTGAAATTATCACATGGTACAGTCTAGCATAGTTATTAACAGCAAACCTAACTTTGTTATTGGAGAATTCCAATTATTTTTCGATTGTGTCATTCTTTCATAACTTATTAAATTTATATCCACCATCGGTAATGATTTGACGCAGTTTTGGAGCCTTAACCAATATTGCATGATGCATCCTAAAAATGTGAACTGTAATTTCAATTCACGATAATATTTCAAAGAAAATAACAATGATAGAAATGGACGAGGTGTTAATTATACTATATCGAGATTGTGAACAAATCATTAGCTTGCTCAATGATATTTTCATTGATAGTAAGATTTTTTAAAACCGAAAATAACATCTCATAACGTTGATAATTGGAAGGAAGCGCAGACTATTAGCGATTGATTTCTTTTATTCGTTTTTAAGTAGATTTCGATGTAAGCAGCGAGTACTAGCATTTAAAATGTAATTGCGCATATCAAGTTTAGTTTTATAGGCGTTATTCACCATTAATTAAAAAAAATTTACAAATTGAGTGCAGTGTTTAAAGTATTCTTCATGGGGCTAAATCATCGTCAACAAATTGTAATCGCGGGAAAACAATTAGCAGATCAATTCATTTAGGGTATGTCATGGAGCATTGTTAGAATATTGTCTTATACAATCAAGGAATATAGAATGGTGTAGCAAATCTTTATATTTACATTCAGGTTTCATGCATTTCCTTGCATAAAATACAAAATTCTATAACGCTTACACGCGCATGATTGATAGAGATGTGCGCTACTCACATGTAATTGCGTCACAGAGAAGATACTATAGTTTATTAGTTCCTAGTTAGGAATAATTTCAAAATCGAAATTGATGTAGTCAATGATGATGCAATATGTTATAAACAATGAGAGCTATGCGTTTAATGATCAGGATAAAATTAATTTGCAGATTAGACTAATGGCGATTGTTAAATCAAGTTATTATTAATCTACTTGTAACTTATTGTAATTGCGATTCGACGTTTGAAATACAATTTTGTTTATATACTTTCAGGTTAGACCATTTCATAGTTCGTTAGATCAGCAAAATATTATAAAATCCGTGATTTTTACTAAGAGATTATCGATCGTTAATTGCCGCTACAATGATATATTAATTATAAATTAATAAATTTCATATACTATACGAGCCGATGAGTACTTGCAAGAACTGAAAGAGATTTTTAATGGTTGTGATGACTTATGAACGTGCATAAAATTAAAAGCTTATTTATTTCTTTAAATGCTTTCTTATAATTTGAAGTGATGTAATTACTGTCGCAAGAGTACGTTTAGTGTTAAATCGAAAACAAAATTGAAAATGTTTAATTCATTAATCATTCTAGGCAATTCTTTTGTAATATAATGAAGCACTTCATCTACGATTCTATTTTATAGGTTAACATATTGCGCCTCTCAAATGGTACTTTCAAGGAGTTCAATTTCGTAGGATGCAACAGTAGTTCAACTCTAATATTAAATAATAATTATTTATAATATCAGTTTAAATACCATCGCCACTCACAAGTAGTACTTTTTACCGTGATATAATAATGAATTGATCTCTGCAGAAGAGCAGAAATTATCGCAAGTGGAAAGGGAATGCATGCCGGATAGCTAAATACTAACCTTCATACGTCAATACGTGATAAAACAAATTTCTTACTAAGGTTACTTCTAGAAGTAGAAGATCCGTGGATAGTACAATCTCACTGTTATCAAAACATTACGATATTACAACCTTATAGAAGAAGAATCGGGGTTGGTTCGGGCCGTGCGAGTGCTGGAAACTTTTTTGACGAAGGAGGGGTTAGAGTTGGGTTGGGTTTCAAGGAAATTATACACCTTTTCGATTCGAGCTGAGTCAAGCTATCAATCTCAATCTCGTCGTTTTTCAGCTCTCTGTTGCATACAGTACAGTGTCCACTAGGGTATAGTGCGTATTTGAGCCCGTTAAAAAAGATGAAATTACGTCTACTTAAGGTCCGGTCTTTCACCTCAACAAGGTAGAACTAGCTCTTGCTTTATTCTTCCACCGAACACTCATCGAGAAATCTCTATGTTTGCAATAAAGTTTACTTCAGCTAACCGTCACCTTTGCAATGCAATACTGTACACTAGAGACTCTTAGAGGCTCTCTAATTAAGGGTCTCTACGGTACACTGTAGTGGATAGTGCAGGGTACTCATATTTGAACATGTTAAAAATCTACTCAAGGCCCGGTCTTTCACTGTGCAGTATGCTCGCAATATAGTAAGGCCAAAGCATAAAACTAATTTAAAATAACACTTTCTTGCAGTTGCAGTTATGCAAAAAGAAAGCCTGAGCAAGCTAGCTAGTTCCGTGCTTGGCAATCTACAGTACAGTACTGTACAGTAGTGTACGGTACACTGTAAAATGTACTGTACTGTACAGTACTGTAGTATACAGTACAGTACAGTACAGTAATACTACGGTAATTTACAATACTGACTGTATCAGATTGCAGTAGACGGATAGACAGGTCACGGACAGCTGGAACAGTATAGTATTCAGTAAGTTGAGCAATCTCCAGTCGCTATGCAATTCGATAGGTCGGCAATTAATGAATGGGCTACTACTGGTGGCAGTATCGCGCGCCAAGTCATTTTTAGTCCACTGTCGGACGAAGTCATCACCATACGTGACATCCTTTATTCACAGATTGCGATACAGCACCGTAGATTGGACACGGTGCTAACATTAAAATCTCACTTCAAACAGTGTGATTATTGCATGTTATGCATAAATCCTCGTCTTGACTCCGACTACTTGTGATTCAAGGCTTTCAACTAGTGTCCTACTCTTTCTGGGTATAAAATACAGTAATAGAATGGATAATTAATAATTGTATTTTCAATCGATGCTAACTTGTATTAAATTGAACATTTAGTAGGTGTTTAATTCTATACTTTTATAATTAATTATCCGTCAGCATACAGTACAGTACTCTCAGCCTACAGAAGCTATAGCCTATTTACTGCTTTCTTGTTTTTAATCAAGATGGCGATTCCTGCAGAGAAATAGCAGCATCACTGATATTTTGCTATCTATATTTGATGTCAACGAAACTTTTCCACTCGCAGCTAAATAACTTAAAGTTGATGGTGATTGAAGTAGCATACGTATGTATAATAGCACCAAAATGCCTTGATATTTTGTTACCAAGTAATGGTAGTATTATTATATTGTACACGTTGAGATTCATTTCTTCGAGCAAATATTTGATGTGCCCTTTGCCTTGCTAACTTACCTCTTTTATTAACACGTAGTAGATGAAATTCATTTCATATTTGCAGACATTAAACAATATTGAATACGATAGTACGGATGTTATGGCATAGCCAATTTGATTTTGTTATTCATTCATGGGATCATTTCCATATCGTCCTATTTATTGACTCTAATTATAATCTGATTGACAGTAAAGTAATGATATACTCGTACAACGATGTGGATATCACCAATTTACGATAATTACAGTATATAACTGGAAGCAAGATACAATTCATTTCATATTTGCAAACATCTACT